GTTGACCAGGATGGTCTCGATCTCTTGACCTCGTGATCCACCCGCCTCGGCCTCCCAAAGTGCTGGGATTACAGGCTTGAGCCACCGCGCCCGGCGATTTGTTCTTTCTTTTAAAAATAGGATCCAATAAAAGGATTTTAGAACAAACTAGTTTTCTTGCCTTCACAGTTTTATGAAACTAATGGTGAACACAAAGTATATGCTAATGCCCTAAAGAACTATCAAACCAGTTACTTCTTTCATGGTTTTCTTTTATGCTTAAATGATCCACAGAACAGCTTACCCATTCGAACTACAGGACAACTCTTTTTGCATTCCTGTCGACATTTCTTAGGTTTACACTTGTCATGGTTGACAATAGCAATTCTTGTTAATTTGTCTGCCATAACTGTGTGAAAGAATATCCAGCTCTTCTATCAAAGAAAAAGTAACAAATTTAATGTAATTAGTTAAGAGAACTAATTCACACGCACGAAAGACAGGAAGACATAAATGATCATTACATGGAGATGAAATAATTATCTGCAAAAATAAAATAAATTTAAACAATAGTAAAAATTGTAAAATAATCTATCATCTAGTAAGGTTGGGAATCTCAAATTTTACATATATGCCTTGATCAGAAGATTTATTTAAGAAAATAAAAAAATGCCACTTACAATAGCAACAAAAAGAAAATATCTAGGAATATACTTAACAAGCTGTATACACAAGAAAACTTTAAAACAACACCGAATGACATAAATGACCTGAACAAATGACATGCTATCTCAGTTTTGATAAGAACAGTCAATATGACAGATTTCAACCCTTCCTGAATTTATATATTTAGTTCAATCTCATGAGAAAAAACAAACAAAAGAACCCTAGGCATGTGGTGGTGATGCACCTGCGGTCCCAGCTATTCCAGAGGCTGCGGTGGGAGGATCACCTGAGTCTAGGTGGCAGAGGTTACAGTGAGCCAAGATCACACCACTGCACTCCAGCGTGGATGAGAGTAAGACCTTGTCTCCAAAAAACAAACCAACTCAGATAAAGCAAACCTAAAGATCCAATGGAAAAAGCAGTATTAATAGCCAGGAAAACTGAAAAAGCTGAGGAGGATAAGGAAATTCTACAAGACCTTCCCCTAAACTAAGCATTACTTCATGTTGTGTACATCTGACTATAATGACACTGATAGAGATGTGAAATTATAATAGCAATGAAATTAAAAGGAGACCAAGTAACTATATGTATATACTATGTTCACTTTTAAAGCTTTTATAAGTGTTGATATTTCGGTTTAATCAACTACACAGCATTAAGATCAAAGTGAAGTTAAAAATCTTTTACAATATTGGGCTTAGTGGTTCAGAAATTAATTTCCTTAAAATGGTGATTAAAGTATTCCAAAAAGTGCATTAATACTCAAGTTTACTCCAATATGTAATGAATGAATCTGAAGCCATGACTGTCCATTTAGAAAGATACCATGTTGGGTTTTTCTGATTGTGATATGCAATCCTGATTTTTCTTTTTTTTGTGATACATTGCTTCCCCTTGTAGACATCTTAAGTCTTTTTCACATCCATCAATACAATTAGGCTTGGAGGGGGATTAGACATCTTGCTCCTCAATACTGTCCTAGACTATTATCTCTCCCTCCTCCCTAAAAAGTTTTGCATGTCAACTATCTAAATGCTTTAGTTAGTACTATCAGATCACTCCCTTTCATTCTTTGAAGATTTCATCCCCCTGCTAACTTTCACATACTCTTCTACAAGTCCTGACATAGTTCTTGGTGATTTCAGTATGCTAACAGATGAACCTCCCATCATTAACCACTCTCTTCCAACATCTTGCCTTCTATTCTACCATTCATTTTTATCTATCTAGCCATTCATTTTTCTGGTTACATCCTAGACCTTATCATTACCGGTGACTGCAATCCCTCTATAACCACAATTTCAAACACTGTATTCTCCAACCACCACTCTTATCTTTCCAGTTCACCCCCTACTACACAACAACCCAACAATCCCGATTCTCCCATTCTCCAAACCTTTCACTGTCTCTTGATTCTATCATATTTCCACTGTCCCTCAGCTCTTGGTATTTTTATTTCCCTTCTTACCCAGCTAAAATACCATCATCATCTTGGTTAAATTCAGCTCTTCACCTTCAAATACACAACTGAAAATGGGTAGGGAAAAAACCCCACAAAACCTGCTGACTAATCTCCCTTGAAATTCATCATCTCAAATGGACTCTTAGGCGAACCAGCAATCTCAATATACGTATTTACCTAGCTAAGACCATTTGTACACTAGAAGACATTCCATAAGAATGTCTCAACTATTCTCCTTCCTGTCTTTAACATCATCAATTATTCTCTCCACGGGCTCATTCTTATCAGCATTCAGGCATTCTATTATCTAACCCCATCATCTCCCATTACTTTATTTCTTCAGCTGATTTATATAAAAATAGTGATAAATTGCAGTGGATTTAAGAAAAATGAACATGGATAGAACTGTTAATTAACTGTGTGAACACTTTTAATTCAACTTCTGTATCAATTTCAAGAATTGGGGCAAGGAGATTCCCTACTTCTTTTCAACAGAAAAGTTAGACACAGTAAAGCTTGGAGAGGAAGGTTATAGTTAACAGGCTCCTGCAAACAAAGAAGGATTTGAGGATATTTCAGATTTGAAGACAAAAACGCTTAAAAACTGACACTAAAACAATGACCCTCAGTGTCATTCTTCCAGCTAAAAGGAAAAAAGGAAGTGAGGTATATTTGGAAGCATTTACAGTGTAAAGCCAAAATAATTGTAATGCTGTGTAAAAGCATTTCAAAGATTGGTTTTAACCAATGATCTTTAATACCACATGAAACATTCTAACCTATGCTTATTGTAGTTTATTAGACTTATAAAACACGTATAAGTTAGGAGTGGTACACGGCTCTCATTTCAGAGTTTTAAGACATTTAGAAGGAACTCTAATCTAAATATTGTTTTCTCCCCCTCCCTCCCAACTGTTAAATGCTCTTCCTAAAAAAACAAAACAAAAAAACCTCCTTTTTTTAAAACAGGGGAGAACTCAGTTAAAAAAAAAACCCAAAAAACAACAACAAAAAAAAAAACAACTCACAAACCCCAAACACCTTCTGGTTAAAATACAAGTTCTGAGGTTTTGGTTACATTAACAAAGCATTATTGTCAGGTGTCAGAGTACAATGAATATTCTCAGAATGCGGGACAAACTACTGCAACATAAATGCCACTATCATAAATGATTAGTTAGCAGTTCTGTTGGGAAGGAGTACCAAAATAAAATATGTTATTTGGACAGTTCTTTCTCTTATAGATTTTACCATCAAAAAAGAGAAAATAAGCTTATATAGTTAATGGGAGGTGGAAATTCAGCTTTGGCTGTCATTCATTCACAAGACGTATTAAATGTGTACAATGTATGAAGCCCTGAAGAGATAATAAACGTATTCTGAGTAAAGACACCAACCTTGATTTCAATGAGTATAAGATACAATAAAGGGAAAAACAAATAAGGGGAGAAAGTGCCGGGTGGTATAAAAGCGGACCAAAAAAGCTATAGGATTTTAAGTGGAAAATTAATGGGGATAAACCGTCACGGCTGCGTACACACTGTTCTGAGAAAAGCAGAGCGACATGTGTGCATCATTTCTATAAAGACTGGGAGTGGACACGGAGTATTCGACTTCATGGCGGCAAGATGCCATGACTCATTCACTCACCAAAACGTGGAAGCCACGACTTCCCACAAGCAAATACGCACATATGACAATATGTCCATTTTAGTGTGCTAGGGAAGTGTGGGGGTACTAGAGGGTGCTGTAAGTTCTAAGGGTGTCCTCCTCTGCAGCAGGTTTGGCTCCAGGGCAGGAGTCGGGTAAAGAGGGAGTGGAAACTACGGCCTCTAGGTCCATTCTCGAAGTCCCAGCGGGCGTGGCAGGCAACAGCGGGGACAGCCAGGTGGGCTGGAGGGGAAGATCGAGGCGCCCCCAAAGTCTCGGCGTCGCCCGCGCTCCAGCAGTTCCAGAAGTCCCGCAGGAGCCGCTGCCACGCGCTGCTACCGTCTCCGCCACCTGAGGCCTAAGCAAAGGCTCTCGGAGAACGTCCCTACAGTCTTTCCAGCCTGGCAGATGGCAGCTAACAGCCAAAACTCTCCGGGCGATTCACGTACCTGGAGAAAACGATCCCCTTGCGAAGGGGAGCGCAGAGGCCAAATCAGTTCTTGCCTTCACTTTTCAGCCACACAGCGTGTTCTCACGGCCACCGGCCAAAATGGCGGTTCCCAGCGCCCACTCGCGCAAGCCATAGGATGTAGTGCGCGCGCGCGACAGAGAGCGTAAGGCGGAACCCTGGAGGTAGGTAGGGCGCGATGACGTCATTGTACTGCGACCCTTGTTCCTCGCCGCTGGGGAAGCCAGGCTGTCCTAGGAAGCTGAGTGGGAGTGGCACGTAGCTGCTGGAGGTCCTGAGAACCTGAGTTTCGGCCAGCAGCCAGGTCTGGAAACTGTAAGTGTGTTGGCTTTTCTCCGACGTGGAGCGTGGTCCTAGCGTAAACAGATGCATTCTCCTTCCCAGTTTCAATCTTTTTTTACGCTCGCGCTCTCATCAAGGCGGGTGGGTCGGGAGTGGAGCCTTAGTCATTCTGGCACGCTAGAGGTATCAGTAGGACCAACAGAGTCTGGTCCCGACACGGCTTGCTGTTGCGCGCTCTCCTGGGCCTCAGCTCCTTCTCAACTGTGTGGTCAGTTCAAGGCCGGGAATCCAATCTTCTCCGAGCTCCGTATTTTATCCACTTGGTGGCGTCCAGTCCCAAGGCCGGCAGTTAAATTCTGCCCTGAAGTGGAGATGGACATTCTTTCTTTGTTTTCTTAGATGACAGGACATTCAGTTAGTAATAGTGGTTGCAAGTTGGATAGATTCGTCCTAGATCTCACTTAACTTGCAGGCAAATGACAAATAACTAGTTCATGACTGAACCTATTCATCTGTTTATTCATTCAGTAAATTACCTATTGAGCATCTAAGCCTTGGCCTTGCTAAAGTTTACAGTCCACTGTCTCTGCGGTTATTTAGTGAGTATCACGTGCTTGTGTGCCGATTAGAGAACAACTTTGGATACATGGGAGGTATCAAGGAAAGGAGGGTATGCAGAAGTATTGCACCTGTTTTGAATAGCAAGTATAATAATGTTCAGTAGCAGTAACTGTGCTACCAAAGCAGTTTTACATATTCTTCACGATCCAGTATTGAAGTGTTTTTTCACGTTTGCATAGACTTACTAAAATTAACAAAAGATGTGAAAGATGAAGTCGACTCTTTTAGAATGGGCCAGTTACTTCATAATCTTGGAGTCATTTTCCTGACTTTATTTTCTATGTTAAGACCATATGTAAATAGAACTTTTTAACATTTTTCTTATTTTTGTTTTTTTGGGGCAGAGTTTGGCTCTGTTACCCAGGCTGAAGTGCAGTGGCACGATTTCGGCTCACTGCAACCTCCGGCGCCCCCACCCCCCACCCCAGGTGGTCCTTCCGCCTCAGCCTTCCTGGGACTACAGGTGCGTGCTGCAACACCAGGCTGATTTTTTGGTATTTTTTTTGTAGAGATAGGGTTTCACCATATTGGCCAGGCTGGTCTTGAACTACTGGGCTCATGCAATCCACCTACATTGGGCTCCCAAACTGCTGGGATTACAGGTGTGAGCCACCAGGTTTCGTTTAAGGACCGGCCTTAAATGAAACTTTTGACAGCTAGAGGACATGTATCTCTGTATCACTCAATGAATATTTAAAATGAGGATCTTGGTGGGGGGCAGTGGGATTACACTTGTAATCGCAGCTATTTGGGAGGCTGAGGTGGAAGGATTGCTTGAAGCCAGGTGTTCAAGACCAGCCTGGGTAACATAGCTAGATCGTGTCTCTAAAAAAAATTGATTAATAAAATGAGGATCAATGTTTACATATTCCTAGTATAAGAGTATTTCAATCTGACTTGTCTAGGGCTAAAAATCATTTGAATTTTTAGTCATAGAAGTATAGAACTGCACAACATTATATAATTAAAAATCATCAAGTGAACCTCTTTGACAGGAGAGGAAATAAAGCCCAGACTTACTCAAAGTTTAGGCCAATTAAAGGAGGTACTGAAGCCAAAGCTTTGATTCTGTGGTCTTTTGACTACGATAGCTCGCTGCTTTGCATATCTGGTCATATGAAATAAAACCTGAATTCCTAAGATTTTTATTTATTTAAAAATAGGAATGGGGTCTTGCCATGTTGCCCAGGTTGGTCTTGAACTCTTGGGCTCACATGATCCTCCTGTCTCAGCCACCCAAAGTGTTGGGATAAAGGTGTGAACCACCATGCCCAGCACCTAAGAGTTAAATAACAGTGATTTAATTATATTAACTGCATCTGAGAATAAATGATTACTATCAGGGTATATGAATGCCATTAAATTTTTTATTGGTAAAAACCTGTCATAGAAAGATGCTCAGCTCCTGGTATAATGTGTGCATTCTTTTTTCCCACATAGAATATTTTAAAAAATGACCACACCAAACAAGACACCTCCTGGTGCTGACCCTAAGCAGTTGGAAAGGACTGGAACAGTACGGGAAATTGGGTCACAAGCTGTTTGGTCACTCTCATCTTGCAAACCAGGTAAAAATGAAAAAGCTGTTGAAAATAGTCACTTGCAGTTTCCTTATACTGTCATCTCCCTTTATCCCAGGGGTATGTTCCAGGACTCCCAGTGGATGCTTAAAACCATGGATGGCACCAAACTCTTTCTATGTTAATACCATGTTTTTTCCTATAAATACCTGTGATAAAGTTTAATTTATAAATTAGGCACAGTAAGAGATTAACAATATAACAGTAATAAAATAGAACAATTATAACAATAGAAGTAGTAAGAAAGTAATAAAAGTTTTGTGAATGTGATCTCTCTTTCAAAATATTGTATTGTATCCACCCTTCCTCTTGTGATGATATGAGAGATAAAATGTCTATGTGATGAGAGGGAGCGAGGTGAATAATATAGGTGTTGTGATGTAGTGTTAGGCTACTATTAACCTTATGACAGTACTTCAGAAGGAGAAGCATCTGCTTCTGGTGATCCTGGATCATCAAGCCATAATGATGTTATTAATTGAATGTCAGGAACAGATGATGTTGATGACTAATGATGGGGTAGTATATACAGTGTGGTTATGCTGGACAAAGTGATGATTTATGTCTTGGGTGAGACGGAGCAAAATGGTGAGAAATTTCTTCACACTACTCAGAACAGTGCACAATTTGAAACTTACCAATTGTTTATTTCTGGAATTTTCCATTTAATATTTTGAACCATGATGGACCAAAGGCAACTGAAACTACAGAAGGCGAAACTGCGGATAAAGATACTACTGTACACTGGTCTGATTTTAACATTCCTTTTGTTTAGATGCTTTATTTTAATTCTAATGCACTGGAATTTTTTTTATCATATATTTCTGTCTAATTTCTTTACTAATCCCTAGTTAGATTTAACTACATATGTCATAAGGTCTCCTCTCTTTTCCTCCGCTATCTCTGCTATGATTCAGTTCTTAGTTAGCTTTTTTTTTTTTTTTTTTTTTTTTTTTTTTTTTTTTTTTTTTTTTTTTTTTTTTTTTTTTTTTTTTTTTTTTTTTTTTTTTTGTCTATTTCTCTCAATTGGATAAGTGAATGCTAACATATACCAAAATACTTTCCTTTTATTTTTCGTTGGGACAGAATTCCTGAGTGGCAGTTCTTTTCTTTATGAATGCTTTTTCACTATCTTCTTTTGCCATGTTGTAGGTAGAAAGGCCTATGCCTGCCTCTTTTTTTTTCCTAAGTACTGTAACTTGTTTTTTTCCTGAATGCATCTAAGATTTTTCTCTTTATTCTTGAGTTCATAACTTTTGCCAGGATATATTTTCTCACTCCCATAACACATAATTTGGTAGGCAGTTTTCATCTGCAGACTCAAGGTTAGAGAAATGTCTTTAGCTTGAGGGACTTTATAATGTTAGTTTAGTTTTCAGTCATCTTTCTTTCAGAAACTTTTATTATTTACACATTAAGACTCCTATAGCCATCCTCTCAACCAAGCCTCCTCTGCTTCCCTTCAAGGTTCCTTTTTTTCTCCTTTTATGAACACTTTATTGAGGTATAATTTATATATTATAAAACTCATCCTTTTTAAGTGTAGAGTTCTATGAATTTTACAAACATGCCAGTCATGTAAGCAGCATTATAATCAAATGTATAGCATTGTCATCATTCCACAAAGTTCCCTTATGTCTTCTGTGCCTTTTCAAGTCCCTGACAACTCTGATCTGTTTTGGGTCCCTTTGGTTTCACCTTTCCCAGAATGCCAATATAAATGTAATCATACTGTGTGTAGCTTATTGGGTCTAACTTCTTTCATGTAGCATGATTCACTTGTGAGTTTTGCTGTCGCACATATCTGTAGTTTGTTCCTTTTTATTGTTGATTACTCTTTCACAATATGGGTATACCAGTTTGTTTATCCATTCACCAGATTTGTAGCAGCCAGCTTTCAAAATGGTCTCCAGTTATCCTTGCCTGCTGGTATTCATGCCCTTCTGTAGACCCCTTCCAGATTGTGTCAGCATAGGTCTTTGGGACCAGTAGAATATGGCGAAACTGATGGTATATGACTTTTGAGACTAGGTTGTAAAAGACATTCTGTCCATTATTTCTTAAATTATTTATTTTTCCCTATTTCTTCTCTATTATCTTTCTAGGAATCTGGGAATCCAAATATGCATACGCTAGACCATTTGGTTTTATCCCACAGCTTTTGGATACTCTTATTTTTTTTCACTTTTTTTTTTTTTTTTTT